CGAGAGTGTGATTCGTAATGGTTACAAGCATGCCAGCTGGTCATAGATTAATTACTCAATGTAGCCAGCAAATATATTAAAAGTTATGTTTTGACGGGTAGGAAATAAAATTTATTTTTTTGATTTTAATTTGTTTAATTATATCACGGACAATTAAGTTTTATATATAAATATAAATATAGAAATAAGGAGACTTATGAGCACACATATACACGCCATGAACGTGAAAGCGAGAATGGATTCGCCGCGAACTTTCCGCCGGTAGAGTTATTTCTTTCAATGATCTGAAGCTCCCTCTGTCCCCCCCCTCTTTTCTACGCCAATGTATTCTGATATGTATTGAAGTATTTGCATGAATGCCGGTCCCTAGTTTAATGGTTCCTTCTGACTATGGGCGGATCTAGAAATATGAAATGAGGGGGTGCTAATTTGTATATTTAGAAGAACAAAATATATTATTTTAATAAATAAATATCGCTTGTTTGCTACAACAACGACATAACACAAAAATCGTCAATTTTGAGGTGTTTGCAACTAATTATAATTTTGATGTTCTTCTTTATACTGCAAGAACGAGATATGTGAATATACAAAAATTAGCCGCTAGATAGCAGTTGTGACGTTATTTCGTTACCATCATATCATTGCAAATAAAATTTTCAAATGCGTTTTATGTAAAATCATGTTTTTCGTGTTGTGTCATTGTTGTAGCAAACAAGCGATATATACTTATATATTAACGTATATTAATATATTTTGAAATTAAAAATAAGGTTTAAAATTAGGGGCAGAAGTTCTGACATCTTTTTATGATTATTTATAATAAGATTGTTCATGATTCGAGTCATTTTCTCGATTAGTAACCTCTATTAGTAAAATAGCCCATTATTTTCATCAAATTATTAAATTCATTTAATTTCGATTTTTTGAGAGATTTTCTTGATTATAAAACTATCTGGATTATTAATCGTTCAATTATTGAAATCTTTTCATCATGCTTATTATTAGTTTTTTACAGCGTTTTTTCGTGTGAATTTTCAGATTTAGTGTATATTCCAACAAATAATAGTGGCTATTTTTAATCGCGTCCACAAAAATAAACAACCTAGACTCTAGGTCCTAGAGTGTAATGCTTTTTATTCTACAACATTGTATTATAATTCACCGGGACATTTTACGTACTACATCAGTGTTCTATATTTATTAATGATTTTACTTTCACAATTATGCAATATTAGGCTGACAGGTTTATTCACAGCTATTAGTTTTGAACAAAAAAATCTCATTTTATCACATATCAAACTCAGGTTATCGATTAAGTGTACACGAATTTTAATGATACATTTCATAATTAATTTACAGCATATACAGTGCAGAAAAATAAACATGACTATCAAGATTAACATTGACGAAGTGAAACACGCTTATATAGTTCAAAATTTGGTCAATAAGTATCAAATTCGAATGTAAAACAAATAATTTAAGTGTATTTTCTGATGTAATGATACAACTTAGTATTATAATTCATCGGGGCATTTCACATATTACATACAGTTTTATATCTATTAATAAAACATTTATAAATAATAATAATTTATTAACATTTCAAGATTTATTTCCCCCTCCCCCATAAATTAGCTCTAAAAATAAAAATATTGACAAAAAGCGACTGAAAAATGTATTGCATGACTCGTTTGAGAATCAAACTAGTGTTACAATATTCTAATGGTCACAACTGAACAAGAAATATTGAGTAAGATCTTACTAGTGGTGTGAATAGTATATCTAAAGTTAAGATGCTTGAAAAAGTTACTTGATTTCCTCTCGGTCAGAGTTTATGGAGAAGGGTATAAATTAACCAATGGTAAATAATGTACCTATATTTCTAAATTTACCGATATCCCTTAATTTTGTTTTCTTCGGTCCTATGTATTTTACAACACTGGTTATGATGGCGCAAGCAAAAACTAGTGCAAATCATTAGTTTTGTGATTATAACCATTTAAAGTTTTCAGTTTTATTTAAATAGCTCATGTTGTGATGATATGGAATTTATGCCGAGGAGCAATGGATAATGTGGCACTACCAAAATAGAGGGTAGGTAATGAGTTAAAATGCCAGGTTATTTACTTTTTTTGTTATATTAAAATCGGTATGATAAAAATATTTTGACTCGTAATATTTGTATTATCATACTTACCGATTTTAACATACCACCTGCAGGTGACAGTGCAATTTTTAAGGGATTTTCACTGGGCGACAATAAAAATATTAAAACTCAAAGCAGTCAACGTATAATAACACAGTATGATGATAGTGTGATATATATGATGATATTTCACGTTCGTTTCGCATAATTTCGCCCAATCTTTTAAAATACTATCGACAGAATATAATCACTGGGCGACATTTGTGTTGCCTAGTTAACTAGGCAACTAATTCCGAACACTCGCGATCCCGCGTTGTTTTTTTGATTGCCGATGATGAGCCGTAGCAGAAACGGTTGTATTCGGAGAAGGGAGAACGCATTTTATCGATTTACGTGGCTGATGATCGATGACGGTGATATTGCAGCAACACTCCAGTCGTACGTCGACGAGTGGTTCGTAAGCGTGTTTGTAACGTTCGTCGATCATCAGGTGGTTTTTAAACATGCGCACTCAACAACACACAAGGTTATCCGAACAAGGACAGACGATTGACAAATCGTATGCGCGACATAACTGTGTCCGCCGAGACGCTGAAGCATCGTTATCATCGTGGTAGGAGAATATTATTATAATTGTTCGGTGAGGATTAGGCGAAGGTGGAGTAGGAGGGCTGTCAAAAGACGGAATATGTCGGAGATTTTTTTTTCGTTCATTTCGTGAGGTGATTCGTTATGTAGATAAGTGAAAGACGACGACGAACGCTCGGCTTTAAGTGCACTCCGCCATCACGGTTTTCACCAACTCTCATGTCAGCTGACATTTGCGTCATCACCGCAGACGTGCTCTAGACCATTGTAACTAGGCCTTTAGAACATCTACCATGTCACGACCTTTGGAACACACCGCGCCACGGCTTTTGGGATCGACCACGCCGCTGACACCAGTGGCGGGAAACCGTCCGGTCGGCCGTTGGGGACGACTGCGATCGAGGACGTTCAAAACGGTTGGCGACCACTGCGCGGTGGAAATTGTCACCTTGCTGTTTTCCTCGTCGATGTCCATGTCCGGGTTCTTCCAGAACAACCTCCTGCTACGAAAGGCGTGCAACGGGACCGTGCCCTTCGGCGAGTGCACCGACGGCGAGGCGCACGCTCAACACGTCGTGTCCGTCATTTACTCGTGGAAAGCGGCCATCCAGTACATCGTGCCCGTCGTGTTGATCATACTATCAGGTAAGCTGCATAGAACGTGCCCCGCCAGTGCCGTTCCGGTTATCCCACTGCAGGTCGACTACAACGATTGCAACTTACGATTTCAAATTTTTAATCCGTGTTATCATCGTTATTTTGTTATCAGCGTTTGATAAGGAAATGGCACGGCACAGCTGCGGTTACTGTTGTGGTCGTTTCCGAGCGACCCAGGTTACTAATTACCTGCGTTCGGATTAGATAACTAATTTAATGATTAAAGATAATGTAATTTATATTTACCTAGATAAAGGTAAAGATAAAACATTTTTTTATCTAAAAAAAAAAAGATACGATTTTTCTAAACGAATCCAAACCTAACACTGTAGTTGTTTTTATTATTATTAAATATTTGCTTTTGCCATACAGCATAACAATAATTTCCATTTCATCTTCATAATTATAATTATAAACAATTAAAATATGAATAAAATGTTTACTGTTTCACATTTAATTTATGTATGACTATCCATAACAATCCATTAGGTAAATGTTCTTAATAATTCATTTGACGTACACATACAACATAAAAATCTATTACATTAATATTTTAGACTATAAATGAATACTTTTATTTCTTACTAATGAAATTAATTATACCTACATTAAGTGTTTAAGTAATATTTTATGTAAAAATCCAATAAATTTACATAAAACTTTACATTATGATTTGCAAACATTTTTAAAATACTATAAAGCGGCTTTTTGCTCGTTATTTTTTTAATTTAAAAAAAGGTTTATACGAAATGTGTACCTAAAATCGTGAGATTATCAAATAACCTTTCGATAAAATATCACAATAAATGATATTTTTGAAAGGAAAAAAATGTATACATTCACTGCCTTTGCATTTATTAACTATTTAAGTTGTATTTATATAAGTTTGACGTTTCAAGAATGATATCTTATAATTATTAAATTAGTGATTAAGTAATTATAGTTACTTTCGAATAAATTGTTCGCTAGCAGTATTAATAACCTTATCTATAGTCAACTACTTGGTGATTTCAGTAGTGAAGAAAATAAACAATGATTGCATAATAAATGAGAATTATAATAAATAGCTAAATGTTTGCTTAAGATTATGTTGCATTTATCTATGCATATATATATATATATATATATATGTGTGTGTGTGTGTTACGCGCAAAAGTCGAAATCATGTAAACCTCAGAAACGCCCGGGCAAATCCTTGGTCAAAATGTCATATTTCGGGTCTTGCCTTGACAAAACTAGTTATGACCAACATAATTTGGTCACAAACCGTGTAGTGAAGAACAAAACAAGAGCGTCTTAAATGTCTGCACTAACATTAAATACAATTAATTAAAAATAAATATTATTGTTCAAATATAATTGAATACGCTTATTGAAGGATACAAATATAATGATATTAGGTACTCGTTAATGCTAATTTAAAGAATTAAAAAAAATTTCGAGTATTTGATTATAAAAATATGATAAAAATATATATTTGTTTATTTGTTGCTACATATATTGGAATCATAGAACTTGGACTACACAAAATATTTTGTTGTGTACATTTATATTTTCCCATATTGCACTTAGTTTTGCAAGAACCAAAAAGAAATTTTTGTCCTCCAGTTTTAATGAATTTTGAAAACTAGTAGTCTAAACCATTGAAGAATGGTATTTAGATATTCTGTACATCGTAAGTAATTAATTGTTATTTGCACTGAATTACTTGATTCCTGGCATATAATGATGGCAAAATTCCATTTTTGGTTCCCAATTTATAAAATCTATGTTCAGTAATATGACAACTAACACGTTATTTGGACTTTTTCTCTATCAACACAAGGCATTGAAAATTTCACTCTTGTTTTTACTGTTGGGAAGGAAATTTATTTTTACTCATTGATTTAATTTTTTTTTTTTGCTTGTATCACTAAACCATCAGCAGTTTTTTCTCGTGCTCTTTTAAAACGTTATTTTTGTTAAGATTAATTTTCTAATTTTTTTTGATTTTCTTCATTTAATTTTTATTTTCGTTTTTCACAATTTATAGTAAATCATTATCGATATTTACATTGTTTATTATATAATTGAGTAAAATTTACATTAATTTCATTTAAAATTATAGAAAATTATTAATTATTAATCAACTCTAATTATAAATTATTTTTGCCATTGTAGAATTAAAAAATTCGTCAAAGGTTATTAAATGTTTTAAAATTTTATCCATGAAAAAATCAAAATCATATTATTAATAATTTAAATTTAAATATAGTTTTCATAAAAAACATGTATAAATATTTAATAAGATTTATTACGAAATAAGCAGTTATTTTATACTAAACTCCTCTCAGAATCTTATTTTGACTGAAATTATTTATCATACTATTTAGTTTGAATTATAGACTCCTCGATAATCTGTTGTATTTTGCCTATCTCACTCAAAATAGTTTTTCATCTTTATTCATTTGTTTTCATTCATTTTGAGTTATATCGAATTATAAAAAAATATTTTTAATAATTATGTGTTTACGGTTAATATGATCTACAACTCATACACTCTGTGCAGTAGATTCAAAATTATACAAAAAAAAAAATATACTTAGATTTAATCAATTTAATCATTTATTTAAACTTACATTTAAACTATTGGTACATATTATTTAGATATAAATAAATGCGTACCGTATTTTGTTTTAAAATATTGTAAACATAATACTTTTTTAAAATAAGTTTTTATGTGTATTACGTTTAATCCTTTAGAATGAATCACGTTAATCTTATTTACATATTTTAATCAACTCATATAATTAATACATTTTTAAAATTAATTTCAGGACCCTGGAGCGATAGTCATGGCAGGCGACGTAGACCATTGATTTTCTTACCGATAATCGGTCAAATGTTGACTGACAGCTTATGCATTTTGAACGTTTATTTTTGGAGCTGGCCACCGCAAATTGCTGCTATCTTCGAAGCTATAACTCCTGGGTTATTTGGGTCTCGAAGCATGTTTTGGGTAGGTGTAATATCATATATATCGGATAATAGTCCAATTGAACTGCGAACATTAAAATACGGAATCATAAACGCGATCTACACTATCAGTAGTCTTATTGGAACAGGGTTAGCTGGTTTTTTAAACGTTGGCCTTGGTTTTTATGGTGCATTTTTGGTATCGATTTCGTTCAATTTAGCCGCTATTACGATTGGATTACTTATTGTCAAAGACACTTCTGAGCCATATGACAAAAATGTTGAGTGGTTGAAGCTAAAACATTTCGTCCAAAGTTATTTGAATGTATTTAAAGGAGGAACGAAATCCTTTACTGTTACATTATTTGTTTTGCTGTTAAGTCAAGGTGTGTTGGTGGGAAGAATAGGAGGTAAGTTTTTAATAGTTAAATATTTAATTTAAAATATGTCGTACCATAGTTCATAGATCACTTAGTTTATGTTGTGAGATTGTAAAATATTTTGCTATTACACTCGTCTTATTGTTTTTAATAAATGTGTATTAAAAATAATATTTCATCTAATTCTCTAAACATTTATAATTAAATTACAATATCTTGGAGTAAATTGTGATATTGGTAAAAATGTATTGTTTTCAAAATAATTTTAAGGAACAATATTATTCAATTATTGAATTATTATTTATTTATATTTAAATTAATTAATTTCAATGTTCATCAATCAATATCGAAATAACATAAATATCATATGATTTGCTATAGGTATGTTGACTATTACTGAATATTAAAATTAAAATTGATTTACTGATATAAAAACTATTCCCCAAAAAGTTTTCATTATGTGATGTCAACTTTGGTTTTAGTTTTTAAGTTGATAATTTATTTTAAAAAATTTTAATGTTTTATTATATAATATTATAATATTAAATATAAGTTGATAACCAAGTACAACATTAAAGCCTTGGACCAATAATTTATAAATTGATGTGGTATTAAGTTTATAATGTGAAATCATAAGGATAATAACTTTCTCATCATAATAGATGATCAAAATCCTAATTTTGACGGGAAAATTAACGTGTATAATCTGGTGCATATATTATTCTTAATGGCTTTTCGATTCGGTTTCAGCAGTTTATACGTATTTTTGTTTGAAGTTTAAAATATTCCATTTTGTATTAAATTTGTCGTCTAAAACTTTTTTTACATTTGTTTATTTATAACTTTTGTTTCTACTAAAATTGAAAATATGAAGTTGTTATAAAACTTATTAACAACTTGGTGTTTTTGAGGTTTATGTAAAGGTACTTAGAAATCATAATGTACCTTAAACCGCAGAACAGTTTTGAGAGTGACTGTCATTTCCTCAAACACAAAATTATTTATTATTATAAAATATATTTTTCATTCTTAAATTCATGGTAGGAAATTATATCATAAAAAATATCAAAAATATTATAATATATAAATTAAATTAAAATTTTTTAATTTTTCAGGCGAATATGCTATCACATATCTTTTTACCCGGTACAAATTTCATTGGTATGAAGTGGAATACAGTTATTTTGCTGCTTTCAAAATGATGACAATATTTTTCGGTAATAAATTGTTTAGTATAATCATTATTATACAAAACAATAGTCAATAAGTATACAAGCAAATATTTGCTCGTTAATTCATAAATGGTATTGAATAACATTATACAATAAATAAATAAGTTTAAATAAGTTATTATAATTTATTATTATTTTTATTTTTTTAAATAAGCTTTTTTTTTATTTCCAAAAGTTATTAATATTTTATAAGATTATTTTAATATTTTCCTTTGAATGATTTTTATTATTTATAATTATTATGTTTATTATTAGGTACGTATAAGTGTATAGCTAGTATAAAGTGAAGAACAAAAACCTGAGTTTTTCCAAATGACCAAAATCATTTTTATTGTTTTATAATCATTTATTTAAAAAGTGTTAATTTGAATTTTGACACTTGTCATTTGATCTAGAAAATATTTTTACGTATATTATTCAAATATTAAAGCGTCATAATAATCAAGCAATGAAGAGTTGTTAAAATTGATTAAAAATGTATTAAAAATAACATTAATAATATACATTAGTGTAACTTTCCAAATTCTTTGTATTATGATCGGACGAGTTTATTAAAATGTTAGGCGGTTGTTAAAAGTATACGCTTATTGAATTCATAAGTTTTCATTCGCATGTTTATCATAGTTTTGATTCTACGTTTGAGAGATTTTCTTTGGTAATTAATTAGTTTATTTATAAGTGTTACGAAAATATATTAATTTTAATACTTTGTTGACTGGATAGGATTTAAATTAGATGGTTAAGGTATGTTTACGATTTGTTCATAATAACGTTGGCGTCGGTCGGTTATATGATAGTTTATTATGTATTATATTTCATAAGTTGCGAATGGTATGTAGAAGTAGTATTTATTAATTAAAAGGAACAATAGTTTATTTTTTTATCTCGATATAAAATTGTTAACATTTTTGCTCTTATTGAAATTTACTATATTACTTGGTAATTGATATTAATGAATAAATTAATATTTTATTAATAAACATTTATAGTATTTAATTAAATGCCATATTGATGTTTATATATCGCCCATAGTGTTTTAATGTAGTAATTACTTAGATAATGGGCAATAGTAATTCTTCGAAAAACTTATTGATATGAAAATATAATTACTACCTATTTAATACAATTTTGAACGCAGACGCTTGTATAGTGTTTAATTTGATTTTGTTTTCTTTAATTCAATATCGTTTTATTATAATATTTGTAATTACAAATGTAAGTACTTAATCAATTTTTACTTGATGTATAGTATTAAATCAATGTGTAATTTATTTGAATTGGAACATCTGCCATCCTTGTTGGTGAAGTATAAAAATGCAATTGCTTGTATTGTCTGACTAACTTGGAATCTTTACTACTCGACTTTATTTAATTTCGTTATTTACTGTATTCTGATAACTATAACATAAGCCGTGTCATTAAACAACATATCCTTTTTGTAGTTGGTCGTTAATAAAATATGTCTTAAAATAAGTTAACAAATATAATAATATAAATAAATTAAAATTATTGCATGTACCTACTGGAATAACTGTTTTAATTTAAACGTAACAAAATCATTTCAGGTACACTATTTTCAGTTTCTGTATTAAGCCATTGTATGAAAGTAAACGATGCCATTATAGGTTTAATTGCTTGCTCTTTTGATATGCTGGCTGCAATGTGTTACGTTTTCGCCACTGAACCCTGGCAAATGTATTGCAGTAAGTAGAATATAAATACCTTATCGTTTACTTTTTTTGTTCGTATTGTGATGAGATATTATCATTACCATTATTATAATTATAGTTATTATTATTATTATTATTATTATTATTAATTCTACAGTTTCAATGATTGACTTCTTCCACGGAACGGCTCTCACTATATCTACATCATTAACGTCTAAATTAGTACAGAATGATGAACTTGGTTAGGATTTTTTCGTTTTTAATCAACATTCAATTTTTATTTTATACTTCTTGTTTTCATTGCAAACAGGTCGACTGAATTCCGTCCAGGGATTAATAAGCACATTACTATCATTTCTGATAGTTTCATTGTACAGCGCAACGTATCATTTTACTTTTGAATTTTTAGCTGGTGCTGTTTTTCTGTTAAATGTAATTTTAACTATTCCTATATTCATAATGTTTGCGTGAGTAATTGTGTTATAGTGATGAAAAATATTGATTTTAAGATTCATGCGATTTTTTTCTTTTTTAGGATTATTTATTGGAAATGTAAGCACCTGTGGACTAAAGAAACCACACAGCCTCAATGAAGTCAACTTAAGTTATATGTCTTTGAATATTGTAGTACAATGACTGGATATTTTTTAGGTGTTAAAGTTTTCGTGGTATTTAATGAAATTTTATGTATTATTTCTTTTATGAACTCCAATGATTTCCACCTAAAGTCTTATTTCAATAAGCGCATTATCGTCAAGGGAAATCGTTTTTAAAGAGCCAACAGATGTACTTATTTTATTTGAATTATACTAAATGCTTTATGTATTTTTAAAGACGTTTTTTTTTAATGAAATCTGTTGTTTATAACGTTTACATTACAATATGGTTCTTGAACCTTTTATCTACTTAATGCGAAACTTGAAAAGAATAAGAAGTAAACAACTTTTTATATTATATGATAAAAATCTTTATGCAAATATATTTTTGAGAATAGCTGAATACAATTTTTAAATTTAATAAGTCTTAAATGATATAATATTTTTATGTGAACACTAATAAGTTTTTTTTTTTTACTTAAAAGTGAAATACTCTTTGTGAAAAATTATTTTTATTTCACAATTAATTATACATGGAAGTACAAAATATTTTTAACACTTTTTTTTTGATTCATAATGCTATTTAATAATAAATACTTTCACAATTTCCAAACAGGTGTATACTTTAAAATTATTTTCAAATATTTGTGTTTAAATTCAATATTTAATTAATACGATTGTGATTTTTCAGGTATGTAAACTTATAAACATTTTGATTCCAAAATTGTAACTCTTACTTTATTATTATCCCGGTAAAAGTTTTGTATTAATATGTCTATACGCTGAGCTAAATGCACGCTTTGGTGCATGTTTAACGATAATAATGAAGAAAATGTAGTAGTTGTATATCGAATTGCGAGGCCAATGGATAAATTATTTTATCTCTTCAATTTTTTAAATTTTACAATTTCTACCTCGAAGCCTTATATTATTGTTTAAAAATATATTTAATTTATTTAACATTCAGTTTTTTTTTTTAAATAATCCAGAAAATATAACATAATAATATAATAAAATATAACAAAATAATACAGACAATATAAATTTTTTATAGTTTTTATTGTTTCAATGTAAGATTTTATTGTATTTTATATTTATGCGGATGAAAGTTTATTAATTTATTTTTAATGTATTTTCATGAAATAATTATACGTTTTATTTGTAGGTTAAGTGTAAGTTTTCTTGTTGACATTTTAAGCATATGTGGTTAATATGGTACTCTGGAAAATTTGGTGAAAAGTAACAAATAAAAAATAAAAAAAATAACGGAAATGCTTTTGCTTCATCGGAAACTCAATTACAACATTTTTACGATCGGCGGATATTCGTTCGGAATTGTTTATGATGTGGCGTATCTCGTCAATGGCCATTTTCAATTAGCATTTTCAAAACATTTCAATCTGTTATCACGGAAGACGTGAAAGTTTTTCGATTCTATCGGTGAGTGAACTGCAGTAGCGAGGTGAACGTCCAACACACGTCGTGTCTGCTATTTACTCATGAATAACATACAGCTTCTTATTCCAACAATCTTAGCGGCTAAAGGAAGATACAGCGATTGTAAACTGCGCTCAATGCACACGTAAACAAAAAATCGTGTTTATAAACTGCGGTGGAGTTTTTATCTAGTGTAATCGGGGTTTAAAATGACAAAAAATAATAGGGGGTGGGCTCTAATCCGTATATCATTCTCTGTGTTCCATACAGCCCCATACAATTACTAGGTAATTAATTATAAGTAGGTATATATATATTATGGTGTGCTGTTGGTGAAAATTTTTCTTCACAAATTATTCAAGCGCTGTAAAAATGTATAAACTGGTGAATTACTTACTTAATGTTTTATATAACAGATTGTTAATATCTTTAAAATACGGGCGATGACGATTATGCAACAGTAGACGTAGGATTGAGTGCGCGCACCATTAGACGTATAAATATAATATAAAACGTCCATGACGTGTTCAAAGCCCGATGCAAATGTATACGTCATGGACGTAGGATCAGTGGGAGTTGTAAATATGTGTATGTGCGCACGGTAAGCAATCTTCGTTGTTACGCAAATACACGGAAAACTAAATTACTATTTTACTAAACTAAACTATTTTACTATCGTATTCGGACATTTTCTATTAGATGGCTCATCTGCACAGTAAGTACTAGCATTTGAAAAAAAAAAAATCATGAAAATCAATCCAGTAGAACTACAGATATAGCTGTCTAAAGAAACCGTCTCACATTTTAATAATATATAAAGATTTGTTAGTTTCATTTGTAAAACACTGTTTAACACCTAAACTGCGAAGCCAACTATTCAACTGTGTTAATGTGTATGATTATTTTTAACAAACATTTGAGCGTTTTAGTAAACTTTTCCGAGAAATATAAAGTGGACGTTTTATGAGAAGTCGTGAGAGGTAGAATGGTCTCCTTGCGTTCCCTCCCACTTTGATCCCTGAGTGTTAAAATGTTACATGTTAACTGCGCTCAGGTAAAATTTATGATCGTAATCAATATTACACTAAATAATATTATATAATATATAATTTATTTATTATTATTATTATTATTTTTTATTAATTATTTATTATAATTTATTTTATTATTTATTATTATAATATATAATAAATAAATTATTAAACAAAACAAATTTTGTTTAATAAGTGCTGTAGACTGGGTGGCAGTGTAGAGAAGTTTTGATCTTTTGAACCATCTGCTAAGACCCTTGAATATATGTATTTTATTTATTGGTTTGAATTGAAATATTATCGCTGACGATATCTTTTTGGAAATATTTTTATAAATAAATTCAACAATTCTTCCAAATATTTTTTCAACCATTCGACTGTATGATCAGGGCTTGAGCACTGGGCTACAACAGTACGTATATTAACAGTTCTGAAAATTGATATACATATAAAAAACAATGTGACAAGACCGGAGTAAGATTTTCTCATTGCTTCTGTTATAGTCACTCAACAGTAAAGATTTTCGGTGTTAAATAAATATATTGAAATTATTTATTTTCATGACGTAGTACTTTAGCAACAAAATGTATCTACATTTACATAATTATTACAATTCACTAAAATTTATTAGTTGCAACGAATATAAGTCGTACGTATTTCACATGAATTTGTCGAGCTGGAATGCTTAAAGCTAAGTATCTTTATAGAAAATTATTGTACTTGAAAATGATGAAGCAAATATTGTGTTTTATTGTAGTAAGTTCAGTGTTTATTGCATTTACGGTTGGCGTACTTTTTGGAGAGGAAAACTTATTATCTATAAATGCTTTGTATTTTGGAAACACTTAATAAGAACACAAAACTTTATTATTTCAACTGTACTCATGCTTCGTCCCGTTCAATCTCAAATAAAGAATTACGCGGAACAATATCAAGTGCTTCTATAGATTTGTGAAATTTAAGTAATATATTGAAAATTATTTTTGATTTTTCAGTTAAACTGGGAGATCTGAGATTAAAATGTCATAATGAAATACATTTAAAACAAAACAATTTTTTTCTATTATTTAATGGCTATATTTTTATGTAAACAACAAAAGATGTCAATTTTTATATTACAATTAGACATATACTAGGTAAGTTGTTCACTTATAGTTCATCAGATGATTTTTTAGGTTATTGAAAGTTTAATATATGCACTAAAAAAACCTTAAAATATACTTGAAAAATGCTTAAATACAAGAAATATTCTATTTTCTTCAAAATATGCTCAAATATGATAATTATTTAACTATTTTTAATATTATAAATACAATAAAAATATTTCAATTAATGTTGTTAATAGATGTATGAATTGTTTTTTTGCAACAATATATATTTATTCAGAATAGGCAGAGTCATCCTAACGATTTTTAGAGCTTGGAGATAATTAATTCTGTGGTCTCTCAAGCAACATAATTATATCCGAGTATGATATAAAAATACACTCCAAGTTAGTAAAATGTTGGTAATATAGTTTTCCCAACCTCAACCAATCAAAGTCAATTATGTTGAAATAATAAACAATTCGATTTATATTATTTGAAAATCATTTGTGAGTAGATTAAAAAAATGATTTCGCTAGATCAAATGCAATACAGTGCACAGAAAGCACTGAATAAATGTTTGCAGTTTTAATGCATATACTCAGTAAAGATTGTAAATCGCTGAGCAATATAAGTCAAGACGGTGATTTAGCAGTCAGTTCTAGCTGCTAACGTTTGATCGGGAGTACATTTAATTTTACGCGTAAAAAGTTCATCACCCTGAACGATGAAACTTCACGGTTCATGTTAAAAGTTATACAACTTAACTCCTCGGTCTTGCGATTTTAGGGGTAGTAATCTTAAAATAATCTAATCCAGTTTAGATGCTATTTTATACAAACTAACTGGTCTTTGGTAGTTGGCTCAACTCAGACAAGGGTTTCTAAATTAGACGCAACAGGTCCCGGAAACTATATATCCTGCGTTCCGTTCCTAATGCAATTAGGACGCAACAGCAAAAATAATTTTATTTCCTACAACAAATAATAAAATGTATACATATTTAAATTAGAATAATACACTTTCTGACGGGTAGTAAATTGGAAAAAAAAATGTATTATTTAGACGGTTATTCGTATCGTGATACTTCAAGGTTAAGATGATAACTTTATAGCGTGATATTTCACGTTTAATATTATGAGGTTTGTAATTCAATTCGTTATAGTACATTCGAATATGAAGTAATTAATGGTTATCCCGCGATAAACAAAAACGCCAAGAGAAAACTTGCACAGAAAATAAAATATGAATTCGAAAACTTAAAAAACCTGTTTATTTCAAATCGGAAAAATGTCTTATGATTTTGATTTACCTAACCGATTTTATACGAACACACCAAACTGAAATCTCTATACATCCTCTCTTCTTAAAATGAATTGAAAAATATGAGAGTAATTTATTTTGTAAATATAGTAGATAACTTAGGCATTTTGATGAGTATCATCAACGCTCAAACGTTATTAGATTGTCTAGTCTTAGCGCCGTCTTAAACAAGCGAATAGTCTAACATGAATTATATTCATTATTTCTGAATTGTTCTATTTTTGATTATTATTAAAATAAAAAATAGAGTTTTTTTTCAGTTTTTTTATTTTTTTCAGTGGAAAGAAAATATTCTAACAGGGAAAATTGTTTACTTTTCGTATGGCTAAAATAATAAAATAGGGGGAAAAAAAACAAATAA